ACCGCCGTGGGTTTAACGGTTGCAAATTCCTGCACCAAGGACAGATAGTAAATGTTTGCAGCAATGATGGAAGGGATACTATACCTTAAGAGCACAAAAATGACCTGAAGCTAAATAACACCAATCAGTTAGTGGCCATCTCTGAACCTTTAGTCTACAAGAAAAGGCTTCAAAATAATCGACAGAAGCAATCCCTATATGGATTATCAAGAAGAAAGAGGATCAGGAGAAACCTTGTCTTATTACATAGCAATGATAGCACCAGAATTTTGACCACTTGCAAATCTCCCTCGCTGTTGAGCTGCACAAAAAATATGAGAGAGAGAGAGAGAGATGATCACACGAACCTGGACGTACACGAAACCTCGTCGGACCATGCAAGGGGATACAATGCGGATGGCATGCATCGCGGTTTGAGTGCACTTCATGTTCAACAACATCACATAGCAGTGCAGTGCGCAACGCCAGGCCGTGCCTTGCTGATGGACGTTTCACGTTGAGATCCACGTACTCATCCACATGCCCGCAACATCATCAGCAACAGCCGATCCTGGCTAACAACGGACCACTCCGGCTCCAGTCGCTCCTGCGCAGTGTGGCCGCCTTCGAGACCATCCTATTGTCTGCTGCACCGCCCCCCTCCACCCCGACGCTGCAACCTAACCCCTTGTCAGCGCCACAGAGCAACCTGCTGTCAGCTGCATCAGGAGCATCCACCCTCGCCACTGTCACACCGCTCGCACTGGCAAGTGATCGTTATCCGGCGGTGGTGATGTCGTCGTCGTTGTCGTAGAGGTTGTTGCCGCAGGATCTATGCTCCCCGAATAAGGCGTCCTACTACGTTCGAGCGGAGACCATGGCCCGCCAAGGGGATACGCAAGCGCCGGCCGCCGGGACACCCGGTTTCTGCGCAGCCTGTAACCAATCGACAACATCTTCGACGTAGTCACCGTCGGCCGCGGACGGCCGGTTGGACGGACTTAGGGCGATGCCGGAGCCGAAGCTGTGGCTGATCCTCACCAGGCCCGCCAACACCGCAAAGAAGGTCAAGGGAGATTAGGAGGCCCGGGGCAGCAGCAGCGAGTTGCCGACAGCCAGGGCGCGGCAGCGGCAACGACCGATCATCAGAGGACGAAGCATGCTCCATACATACGGGCCGAGCCGAGATAACGGCCGACGCAGCAAGACAACCCGAACCACCACACCGGCCAACCAGAGCTCCCCGCGACGGAGGAGGCCGAGCAGGACGCCGCGGTCCGTTACGACAGGAAGAAGGATATACCATAGAAACAATATATGCTAACCCAAAGAAAACCTAGCACAATGATATGAGAAGGGCGATCTATTTATAACCCCCAGGACGTAAGCGATGGTGGTATGTGGCGAGGTTTCGAGATCAAACGACTACAGCGGCGCAAACCAGAAACAAAAAGCAGACTCTAGACCGAAACATGAAAGCGGTACCGATCAAAAAACGCAAGAACCCTCCAGATCAGGCGATGGAAGCGGCACCGTTTTTCACCATAGAGCGGCAAAATCGCTAACTGCACCCAACCGCACCCAAGAATTCAGCACACAAGTTCAAAAAATTTGAAACTAAACACCGAATCCACAAAGCGTTTGTACACAACCATTTACCAAAATAATACCATGTGCCAAGCCCAAAATTCACCATGGTTCACTTTCATCCAAGTGGATGAATGTTGGGGCAAAAACCTTGCCTGGAATAGAGGCTTGGGTATATGCATGGGGAAATTACAAAAACTCTTAACATAGTGCTAAAGTAAAAAAGAATGCTGAGAAATGATGAATAGACATCTTCAAATTACATATTTGAGGTCGAATTAGCTTCGGAACTTCTGCAGGTACATATACTTGAACTGAGACAATCGGTGATGTTTTTTACTCCCTCCGTTTCAAAATACTTGACTTCCATTTGTTAAAAATGAATGTATCTATATACTAAATCATGTCTAGATATATCTATATTTTGATATCTATATTTTGATAAATGAAAGGTATGTATTGTGAAACGGAGAGAGCATTTGATTAATGCTCTTATGCTCTATGAGAAGATCACGTGCAAGACCATTCATATTCACATTCATTGATAATCTTCAGGACGATATCTAGTTCCGAATTGCCTGCACAGTGACACATACTCAACGAGGATTCAAATTTTTGCAATGTCCGTGACAAAATTCCGCTAGAACACAAGCGCATCCTAGTTGATACAGATGGTTCTCCAAGAGCTCTTTTATGGTACCCTGTAGTGAATATGGACCGTTAATCTGCGAAATCCAACGCCCATGACCGATCTGTACCGCTGCGAGCAGACCAACGGCATGGCGAGCAGTATAGGTAGCACCGGTCCTTCTCGACCAACGGTATATATGTTCTGAGGGCATTTTTGGACTTCTTCAATTCAGCCGCCCCCCAAGTCCCCAACCCACCCCGCCCGTTGTTCTCGTCCACCTACGCTGGTAGTGTTCCGGCGGCCATCGCAGTGCATCGTCCTCTTCTCCATCCTGTCTTCCCTCCCTCGATAAGCCTGAATCCTGTTCTTTCCCCGTGCGTGGATCCAACACTCGACAGCTTGGCGTAGGCCTCGGCCCGGACCGTGCTCTTCTTCTCCAATAGGCCATGAGGCGTTGGCCTGCGCCCCTCCCATGGCAGAGCATACCCCAGACCGGGCTCATTTTGTCCTGGTTCACAACGGTGGCAACCAAACCACTTTGTGTCGTTGTCCGTTGATGCAGAAGCATGCCGTGTACAGAAGTTCATGGTCTGGCCATGCCGTCCAGGCAGGACGGAGGACTGGAGGAGGGCGCTGACGGAGCCGTGGCCACCATGTCTTGCTCCCACCGAGAAACAGCGACGTGACCCCAAGGTAGACTAGCGCGTCGGGTCGCAGTACACGGCAGGCGGCAGCAAGGTCAGCTAGAGCATGGCGGCCATGGGAGCGAGCAAGCTATATCAAGTCCCAGCTATTACTCCAAAATAGGCTGGCATCTTGCCCCAACAACATTCGCGTTTAGGCCTTCACGTACTGAAAAATTGTCCATATTGCCCACACGAAATCAACGGTGAGATTTAGTTATACTGGCCCACCTCGTCCCGAGCAGTATAGGGTACTGTTAAAAAGCTCTTATCCAAAGTATCTAGTCGCTAGATTTTCCGAAGAAAAAACAGAGAAAAAGAATACAGGATATTCTCCCATGGGTATAGGTATCCAAGAACGTAAGCACAAACTAACTGTAAGCACATTTTGGTAACTTTGGCAACTTTGGCATGAGAAATTTGGGATGGGTACCATATAAAACCAACCTCCCAACAAGCTGCTGTCGAAATGGGCGGGACTTGTACAAATTGCTTCCTGCATAGTCTACTCTGATATACTCCCTCCGTTCGGAATTACTTGTCTCGAAAATGAATGTATCTAGAACTAAAATACATCTAGATACATATATTTCTGCGACAAATAATTCCGAATGGAGGGAGTAGATGAAAAAATTGGAGATGCTTTGGTTTGTATGATGTCAAATCTTCGTATGCATGCCACGGTCAATTTCAGGGCAGTGCAGCAGGTTTATGTAGCCTGCTGTCTGGCACCTTAACATTCCTCCAACAATATATGTCTCTGGTTTGTTGGCCACAACAGGCTGCTTACTGCTTACTACTACCTCTGTAATTAAGAGCCTGTTCGGCAGTCATCCAGCTCCCCAAAATATGGGAGCCGGCGGAGTGCCACTTTGATGACTCCAGAAAAATAGGCTACGGCGCCGCTCCGCTCCGGCCGCTCCAGAAGCTGAGCCGTGGAGCGGAGAGCTGCCGAACAGGGCCTAAATGTAAGACATTTTTGTAGTTCAAATATCACTGATCAGTCAGCCTACCAGAGGTAGTGGAAGTAAGCAGTAATAGGAAGTAATAGTAAGTAAGCAGTAAATATAAGACCTCTGAACCATACATGATGGTACAAATTTAACCATAACCATCATTATGAATTCAGCAAGCTCAGAAAGGTCAGCCAACATCTCCAAAATAAGCAGCCTGAGATGAATGCGCAGAAATAAATTTAACCATGAGCATCATTGTGAATTCATCAAGCTCAGAAAGGTAGGCTAACATGTCCAAAAAAGCAGTCCGAGACAAATGCGCAGAATGGCTTCAGTATCCAACATCCTCAAGTTGAAAACAGCCAGTTGAAACATTCCTTGAAGTGCGGCCGCTCAAAGAGATGATAACAAACACACTGAAAACAACAGCTGATCAAACTTAAACTACTAGTGTAACGACCGATTGTGAAGGACGTATGCCACCTACCATCTTCCTTGAGTGCGAAGTCTGAACTAATGACTTAAATTGATAGGCTTCCTTTGTGATATCGGATTATAATAATACTGATGTGATGTTCATTTTTAACAAAAACAAAAAAGAAAACCCACTGTGACAAATACTCAAACGAACATAATGAAATTGCATAACCTAAAATATGCACCAATGTATCATGCAATAGGATACAACATATGTTGATTCATTTGGACTAGACTGGCCTGGTCTCCTCTCTTTTCTCTACATCGCATGAATGTCCACAACTTAACACTGGGCAGCTGACAACTGCAAACGCACTATTCTAGAAGTTCGCTGTTATGTCATAGCTTCCAATATTATGTCACAGCTTCCAACATGTTACCATTTATACACAAGAGAAACACAACTGATTGTCTGCAATTCTCACAGAGCAAGCATCATTCAAGGTAAGTAAGTTACTTATGACAACGAACACGGCATACATGGTAATCTGATGGCCATAGTGACCTCTGTTCTGACTTTTGACAGTAAAATGTATAATTTTCTGAAAGTTCATTTCCGACTAGAGAATATTTAGCAACGCACATATGGAAACATACAATAAATGAAGAGAAACCCCAAGCTAACTAATGGGGACTCAAGATACTGCAGAAGTCCAGACACTAAGAAGTAGAGGCACTGCAAAATGCTCACTGAGTGTTACTATTTTGGATTTTGCAGGTTTGAGCACAGTGGTAAATTATACAAAAAGAATGGAGGGCACATAATTTAGATGCACATGTAATGCAATCAACTGAGCATGCTATGACAAGCGACATCAAGATATTATGCCTAATATGACAAACCCTGGATGAAGTCCGCCCGAGTTCCATTGCGCCAGCCAGTAGAGAGTATATGGACACCGATAATTATCACACCATGAACTCATGTGTCACAAATTGCACGTGTTGATTCCATCTTTGCAATCTCTCGTCAGGTTGTTAAACGTTTCAACCTTTGCCTTTGATCTGTAGAATACCTCAGTGTCTACAATCACCTTCATGTACGCATCGAACGGCAAGTCCTTCCCATTATTGATCGCTGTCGTCTCGTTGTACCACTCGCTCGTATTCGACCAAAGCTCCTTATAATCATCAAGCAAATGCACATGGTAGTGTGACCTGAGCTTGTCGAAGTAGTTGTAGAATGGCTCATTGGTTGCGATGTAGAGGTTCCGCCACGGCTTGATAAGCTTGGTCACCTTATCTACGATCGCGTCGGGTGATGTGTCCGCGTCCAAGTTTGGATACATCTTCTTGTTCATTGCCTTCCACCCTCGGACCACATGCAAACCATCGTAGTCCCAATCCATCCTGCCTGCGATCTCAGTCACAATGTTCATCAGCCTCTTGGACTTCCAAATAGCATACCAAGGCCTCTGGATGACCTTGGCAGCTCGCCCCTCGCAGACCCTGTACCAGTAGTTCTCAGGCTCATGCCCATTAAACTGCCTCCAAATGATGTTGCTCTTGTCCCTCTTCAGCTGCATTGGTGTCACCTTGTATGTGGGCACCTTCCGCACCGAGATCCGGCCCGGACCCTTCTTCTTGTCCCAGCGCCGCCAGTCCTTCAAGAAGTCCCCTTCCTCCACCAGAGACACCGACTCCTTGAGGTGCTCGAAATCAAAATAGTACCTAAAATCCTTGCCATCCACATCCTTGCCGTCCTCTGTGTGAGCCCCGGACAAGCACATGTTCAGATCCATCACGAACGTCCGGTTGAGGAACTTGGCCTCGCCGAGCCCGCAGAGGAAGCTCCAGATGAACTGGTTCATGCTCTTGCAGTGGTCACCGCCTCTCATGTAGTAGAGGTACTTGCCTCTCCTGAACTCCGCCTCCGACCCAACGAGGGGGATCGTGTCGTTGATCTCCGCGTCCACCGGCGGCGCCGCGACGCGCGGCTTCTTGGGGCCCTTGGGGCGCGGCGGGCGAGCCGCGTTCTTCCCCGACCTGAACTTGCCGACCTTGGTGATGTCGAGCGCGCACCCGTCGGCGGGGGCGAGCTCGAAGCGGCGGTAGTCCCTGTAGCGGCGCCAGGACTTCTCGCGGCGGTTCCGGAAGCGCCAGGCGACGTCGCACTGGCCGGGCTTGGGGCCGCGCACGGGCGCCTCGTAGCTGAGGAAGACGATGGACCTGCGGAAGAAGGCCTTGGCGTTGAAGGCCTTGACGGCGGCGAGCACGCGCGGGTCGGTGCAGTTGAGCGGGGCGTCCGGGTCGCAGGTGCCCGCGGTGGCGTTGATGCCCGAGGGAACGGCGGCCTGGGCCTGGTCGGCGGCGTCGGAGGAGGGGGAGGGGGAGGGGAAGTCCTCGCCGGTGGGGAGGAGCGAGTCGTCGGGGAGGAGGAAGGAGGAGTTGGGGAGGACGCGGGCGAGGGAGGTGGTGATGGCGGCGGAGGACTGGAGCCAGGGGTCGGGCGGCTGGTAGGTGACGGCGACGACGGTGACGGCGAGCACGGCGAGCACGAAGAAGGAGAAGCACACGTTGCTGGCCGCCTTGATGAGCGACTGCGAGACGGGCACCTCGCCGACGGCGGAGGAGGAGGAGGCGGAGGGGCGGTGGTGGCGGGAGGAGGAGGAGGAGGCGGCCGGGTCGCGGACGAGGGGCGCGTCCTCGTCGTGATCCTCCTGGTTGGAGGAGGACATGGCGGGCGGGCGGGCTGGCTGGATCTGGGGGGAGCCGAGGCGAGATTTGGTTGGAGCGGGGACGGGGAGTGGGAGTGGTGGGAATGGGGATGGGATGTTGCAGGTGGAGTAGGGGAGAGAAAGAGGGGAGTGCGGTGGGGTGGCACTGTCGTGCTCGGCTGTCTTCCTTCCTTCCTTTGCGTTGCGTGGTGTGTGTCGGCGCCGGAGTAATCTTTTAGGGGGAAGAAAGATCGCGCTTTGCGTTTTTCGGGAGGGAGAAAGGAGATCGCACACGCACGCACGCACGGCGCTGGTCAGTCGTCTTCCCTGCTCTCGCCGAGAGGTGGGTGTAGACGCGTCGGTCACTGTCACTGCTGAGTGGTGAGTACGATCATCTTCCCGTCCTCACCACCGTGCACGGCGACGAGTTCACCGGCGAGGAAGGAGAGAGGAGTGCACGTCGACGGTGTACAGAGTAAGCAAGACGGGACAAGAAGTAAGATGGTTGGGAACACAAGACATATACATTCTAAATAAAAATCTACTCCCTTCGTCCCGGAATGTAAGACGTTTTTTTATATCCTGATAGTAAAAAAATATCTTATATTTTAGGACGGAAAAAGTAAAAAACACTGTGATTCTTCTGGCTTCTTTTGAGATGCATGACCTAAATTTAATCAAACATTTCAAATCCTTCCGAAGTGTTGTTTTTTCCTTCCATTCTTTCTTTCTCGAAGCTGAAGCTGGGTGATACCTTCACTCGATTCCGAACAACCACTACGGCGTCTGTGGCATGTTTGTCGTGTCCCCTACATGTCCTGTTGTCCCGTCATCTACTTCAATTTCACCGAGTAGTTGCCTCCGGCACCACTTAGATTAATTTTCCCCGCTATAAGTATTCTTGAGCTTGTTAGTACCCTCCAATTCTTCCTTTCCCCGCTTCTTTTCCACCCCTCTTTCCCCCCGCCCGCCCCGGCTTCCCTCCTATTGCTCCTCCTCCAGATTGGATGGGTATCATGTATTCACTCCCTCTGATTAGAGAGCAAACGTTTATGACCTTCTGTGACGCTCCGTTACGTCCGATAGAGTCAAGCGTAACGGAAGCCGTCACTTCAGAGTCGCGCCGGGATTAGTTAAGGAGAACGGTATCATGTACAAGGCGGAGCAACTGCCATGAGTAGGCAAGCTTTTATTACATTGACACCTCAAGTGTCGACTGAGCCTAAGCGGCCATGACGATAGATCGTCACCCGCTCCTAGTACGAGCCTTCTTTCTCTTTGTTTATCTCAAGGCCACAAAATTAATCAAGATTTAATCTATGGTGTGGTCATGGTATTTGTACTTATTAGATCTAAATGTTGTTCCTAACTAGTGCTACTCATCCTTGAACACCACATAGAAGTAAACAGTGATAGTGAAACTAATTTTTTTTACTTGTGAGTAGATTATAAACATCAATCACTCAATGTTTGCTACAGATTGACAGGGATCAATAATTAGGACAAGGTAGTATACACAGGACGGTTGATCTTTTGGATACACACATACATATATTAGCAAGTTACTAGTACTTAGGATTTGATTCTTGGCATGTTAGATCTAGTACAAGCCACAAATGTCATTCACGGAAAATTTTACAAGCTTTTGCAATTTATCTAATTAGTTTTGACTAACTTGGGTGTTTACACAAACATTTTGTTCTTTTTACAGCAAGGTAAGTAGTTCAAGGTGAATAGATGCTCATGGACTAATTCAAACCGAGGTGAAGATAGATAAGAAGTCAAGCAAGAAGGGCTAACACAACAAGGTACTTGATTAGTATCTGGTGGCGCATGCAACCCAAAGAGCTTCACCGCAGTGAAGGACAACAGTGTGGCAGAAGGTGAAAAGGCAAGTGGTGGGGGTACTCCAGTGTATGTGTGAGAGAGGTAGAATGGTCCTCAGGGATGGCTCCTATTTATAGTGGTGTGAATAGCTATGTCGGTTTGGAGAGGTATTACATCTGGCATGCATGCGTGGTTAGGCTTGCATGCATGCCTCCACTTGTGTCTCTTGTGGGCTATATTAGGAACACGTGTAATTTACTTGGCTGGCCATTAGTTGGCATTTACTTTGTGTGAAAAAAATGAGATCAAGGTTTGATTATAAATTTGTAGAATATATGAAGGTTTGGAAAATATTTTGTTGTGCATGGCCAAATGCTATTTGCTATAATAAAAATTAAATGTCAGATGTTTCTATTATTTTAATTAATGTTTGGGCAACATCGTTGAAATTATCATTATCTAATTCCTAACGGTTTTTACATCCCTCCCCCTTAGAGAAAATTCCGTCCTAGAAATTTAAGTTTCACCTTGAAAAGGTAAGTATATTTTTCTCGGAGGTCGTCTTCTTTTTCCCAAGTCGCTTCTCGCACCGGATGATTCCCCCATTGCACCTTGCAATATTTAATTGTTTTACTCCCGAGTTTCTTTTCCTCTATGTCGAGAGTACGACTAGGATGCTCCTCATAAGTTAGGTCCTTTCGGAGGGTTAACTCTTCCTCCTAGACTCTTTCAAATGGTGGCTTTACGCTCTTGCGTAATTCGAAAACATGAAATACATCATGAACCCCTTATGGGTGCGCTGGCAATTCTAGTTTGTACGCTACCGTTCCTCTTCTTTTTTAAATCCGATATGGACCAATATATCACGGACTTAGTTTTCCTTGCACGCTTGACACCTTTAATTGGTGAGACCTTTAAATAAATAAAGTCACCGGGTTGATATTGTATATCGCGTCGTCTCTTGTCCGCATAACTCTTTTGCCGGCTTTGCACCGTCTTGAGCCGCTCTCTAATTATGCGAACTTTTTCCTCGGTTTCTTGGACCAAGTCGGGTGCTAAGAGTTTCTTTTCTCTGGTTTCCACCCAACATATTGGGGTTTGGTATCTTTGACCGTATAAGGCCTCAAATGGGGACATACCAATACTAGCTCGGTAGCTATTGTTATACGCGAACTCTGCTAAGGGCAAGTGCTTGCTCCATGAGTCACCAAAATCTAGCACGCAAGCCCTTAGTGATACGTCCATTTTGCATCATGCTTTTATATCGATATTTATTGCATTATGGGTTGTTATTACACATCATGTCACAAAATTTATGCATATTCTCTCTTTTTTTACAAGGTTTACATGAAGAGGGGGAATGCCGGCAGCTGGGATTCTGGGCTGGAAAAGGAGCAAATATTATAGACTTATTCTGCACAGCTCCAGAAGTCCTAAAACTTCACGGAAATTATTTCCAGAATATATAAAAAATACTGAGCGAAGAAAGTTCCAGAGGGGAGCCACACCCTGGCCATGAGGGTGGGGGGCGCGCCCTACCCCCCTGGGCGCGCCTCCTGCCTCGTGGGCCCCTGGTGGCCCTCCAATGCCCATCTTCTGCTATATCAAGTCTTTCATCGAGGAAAAAAATTATAAGCAAGCTTTCGGGAAGAAACTCCGCCGCCACGAGGCGGAACCAATCTAGGGCTCCGGTAGAGCTGTTCTGCCGGGGAAACTTCCCTCCGGGAGGGGGAAATCATCACCATCCTCATCACCAACGATCCTCTCATCGGGAGGGGGGCAATCTCCATCAACATCTTCACCAGCACCATCTCATCTCAAACCCTAGTTCATCTCTTGTATCCAATCTTTGTATCCAAACCTCACATTGGTACCTGTGGGTTGCTAGTAGTGTTGATTACTCCTTGTAGTTGATGCTAGTTGGTTTACTTGGTGGGAGATCATATGTTCAGATCCATTATGCATATTAATACCCCTCTAATTATGAACATGAATATGCTTTGTGAGTAGTTACGTTTGTTCTTGAGGACATGGGAGAAGTCTTGCTATAAGTAGTCATATGAATTTGGTATTTGTTTGATATTTTGATGAGATGTATGTTGTCATCCCTCTAGTGGTGTCATGTGAACGTCGACTACATGACACTTCACCATTGTTTGGGCCTAGAGGGAGGCATTGGGAAGTAATAAGTAGATGATGGGTTGCTAGAGTGACAGAAGCTTAAACCCTAGTTTATCATTGCTTTGTAAGAGGCTGATTTGGATCCATATATTTCATGCTATGATTAGTGATAACCCACAAGTATAGGGGATCGCAACAACTTTCGAGGGTAGAGTATTTAACCTAAATTTATTGATTTGACACAAGGGGAGCCAAAGAATATTCTCAAGTATTAGCAGCTGAGTTGTCAATTCAACCACACCTGGAAACTTAGTATCTGCAGCAAAGTGTTTAGTAGCAAAGTAATATGATAGTGATGGTAACGGTAACAAAAGAGTAACAAAAGCAAAGTAGTGTTTTTGGTATTTTGTAGGGATTGTAACAATAGCAACGAGAAAGTAAATAAGTGTAAACCAGTATATGGAAAGCTCGTAGGCATTGGATCAATGATGGATAATTATGCCGGATGCGGTTCATCATGTAACAGTCATAACATAGGGTGACACAGAACTAGCTCCAATTCGTCAATGTAATGTAGGCATGTATTCCGAATATAGTCATACATGCTTATGGA